AGCCCATGCCAGGGTGACAAGTAGAGGAATTGGGCAGGGACGGGTGAAAGTGAGGAACCACTTGCAAGAAATATATCTATTTTTTAGTGTTACTTGATGTAAACCAGTCATTCAATTGTACTGATCAAGGAATAACATGTGAATAAATGACCATCAATCAATCAATCAGTCAATCAACGGGGAGAAAGTGGTTTCTGGCAGGGAAATATTTTGACCTGCAAGAAATGCAAGGCGTGAGAAACTAACAGGGGAACCTTTTTTCAAGCTACGCCAGGATTTTCTAGCGAGTTATGTAAAAAAAATCAAGCCAAAAATTAGGAATCACAGGACACTTATTTCCGTTGAATGACCCCTTTAAAAAAATATTAGGGGGCACAGTCACGCGCAAGAGGAGGAAAATGCGAGAGAAAATTAACTCGAAAATTGAACTTTGCCGCCAATATTATTCTTGAAATGGGCCATTCAACGGAAAGATAAGTGTCACGTGATTCTAAATTTTTGGCTTAATTTTTTTGACATAACTCGCCAGAAAATCCAGGTGTAGCTTGAAAAAAGGTTCCCTTGTAAGTTCTTCCCGGCGCTATACTTCATCCGGCGCGTGGCCAGATGGCGCATATTTCTCGCACTTTTTCCCAGTTTCTTGCACCTCCCATTACTTTTTGGGTGACAAATAGAATGATGTCGACGTCATTTTTAAAAATTGAGTGATTTTATTCAAGCTAAATTACTATGCAGATTTTTTTTCGTTCTGATTCCGAGATTTTTTAGAATTTTGAAAGATAATAAATAAATAATCGCAAGAAAGTGGTTTTTTGCAGGTGAATATTTTGACCTGCAAGATATTCAAGGCTCAAGAAACTACTATAAATACTTCATACGGCGCGGGGCTAGACAGCGCGTAATTCATGCACTTTCTCCCAGTTTCTTGCACCTCGCATTTTCAGTGCAAAAAATGTAGCAAACCCGCAAGAAATGAAACCCTGTAAACGTTGGAGCCAGGGTGACAAGTACAGTAAGTAAATAGTGGATTGGATTATGGAATTGCAGTCTGCATCACAGACCGACCGAGGCGTTGGCTTGGCTGGCACTTAACAAATACTTTTGTTCCCGAACCACCGGAAACTTTCGGTAGACAGATAATTACGCAATTAGCAATTACAAACGTTCCACTACGGACAATACGTAACGTTATTCTACGATAATTTGGTTAGCCTGTGAGCAAACAATAATTGACTCCCTTGATACATACACATGTAACTGCAGGCTATTGCATAACCATGAATTTTGCACATTTGCAAATTCATTTGGCATCAAATTCTTCCTCTTAAAAATCTCACCACGGCTTTGTTCTTCTTTCCGCTCTTATTACATCAATTCTGCTATATTTGCGAATTAATTTCGCATCAAATGCCAAAATTCAGACAAAAATCAAGCACTATAAAATATGTCAAAATTTAACCACAGTTTTTCCCTACTTTTTCACCCTTATTAATCGTCACATGAATTTTGCCACATTTGCGAATTAATTTCGCATCGAGTTCCTGCTAGAATTTATGCAGAAACATGAAAATTTCACCACGGTTTTCTAATTTTTCACTCTTATCAATCGTTACATTAATTCTACCACATTTGCGAATTAATTTCGCAGCAAAATGTTATTGAAATCTGCTAACTTCAAACACTATAAAATATTTACAGGCATTAAAATCTCACCACAATTTTCTCTTACTCTTATTAATCGTTACACGAATTGCGAATTAATTTCGCAATAAATTCCTGCAAAAATCCATGCACATCTTTTTAATCCATTTTCTCCCTCTTTTTCACAGCATCTCACTCTTCTGTAGTACTCATGTAATAATTAGTACTTCTTACTTACTTACTGGTTGCCTTGCACTAGCACGATTTACGCTATTCCACTGCCCAATAAAGTTTGTTGTTGTGCCAAAATGATAAAAATAGACTTTGCATTTCGCCAAAAAGTTTAATACATGAGATGAAGAAGAAGAAGGGATTATTTTTTAGTGACAATCCAACAAACCAAGAAACCAAGTAGAGACACGTCTTGTGTGTACTTCTGTCCCACCCATAATCCTCCAAATAATTCTTCTCCCATTGATACGCGCAGTGGCCGCGGAATCGTAGGGACAGCCGCAGAGATACGGGATTAATGAATATTTTTGTGGATTAAGGATCGAGGATTAATTTTATTGGGGGATTAGATTAATCCATGATTAATTAAATAATTTTATATGCTGGGATTAAGGATTAATTAATCCTGACTAATTCCTGATTAAGTATTAATTAACCCTGATAAATTCCTGATTAAGGATTAAGGATTAATTAATCCTGATTAATTCCTGGTTGATTAATGATTAATGTAGTTTTTATTTTACTGCATTTAATGATTGCAATAAGTTTAATTGTAATCACGAGTCATGATTACAATTAAATTTATTGCCAATTTATGACCAAGGATTAATGAATTAGCTAAGCTTCGTCGGGATTAAAAATTAATGGCGTGAAAATGTTACAGGGATTAATGATTAATGAGTAATTACGTAAAAACTTTTATTTGGATTAAGCATGAAGGATTATTAATCATTAATCCAAATCCTTAATCCTACTTCTTAATCCGCTCATCACGGATCTCTAGGACAAGGACAATGTCCCTACGGTTATTCGATGTCTCCATCATCTCCCCATCTTATATACACCCCTCCCTCCCCCATCCCACAATGTTTCTGTCCCCCGATGTCCCCACCCCTTCCGCAGCCCCTGTTGCTACCTTGCACCTCGAGAGATGAAATGAAACAACATCATCATTATGTATCAGAGAGAGAGAGAGGGACGTACAAATTCTATTTTGCAAATCTCAGGATGAGCTAGCCAACGAAAAAGTTGGGATGTGTTGGATACATTGAGGAGCAGTTGTTCCTTGGCTTATCGGACGGTTCATCCTTCACTGGAAGACAGATGAGTATTAATCAGTGAACTTGTTCTTTGTACAAAAAGCGTGATGGTGTTGGTGGTTTGGTTTGGTTGGCAGCAGTGGCCGCGGAAAGGTGGGGACAAATGAGGGACAATGTCCCCACGGTTGTTCGATATCAGCATCATCTGCCCAATATTATATAAACCCGTCCCTCCCCTCATCCTACAATGTTAATGTCCCCACGGCTTCCGCGGCCACTGGTTGGCAGTGGTAAATAAGTGGGATGTATGTATGTGCAAGAAGTAAAGTATGAATTTTTTTCCTGGTGGGAATTGCATGGAACGAAACGAAACTTTTGCTCTTGCTTTCTCAAGGCAACACATTTTTTTCGGGGAGAATGTGTACTTGCGAAAAGTTGCGAATAATATGCACAAAGATCTCGTCATGATGCATGGATATGTATTTGTGAAAAGTTTCGAATAATGTACATACATACGCAATAATTCTGTATGTACAGATATATACATACAGAGGGTGGACGTGTATTTATTTTCAGTGACGCCTGACAGTCAAACTTTGCGGATGTGTTCTTTAGCATAAAGCCCAAAAATTTCAAAATATTTTTTTTTTTTTTTTACATATTTCTGGGTTTTCAGAAATATCAATATTTCCTTTATTATTTGAAAAATACGTACATCTTTTACACATTTTTTAAATAAAGGTAAATCTTATATTTTGTAAATATTTCTAAGATTTTAGACAAAAAAATTTGGCTAAAAGAAATTGCTATATTAAAAAATTCAAATTTTGCAAAAAATTGTTATTTGTTTTTGCATTTATTTAATTCCTGAATTAAATACCTACGCGAATATGCATAAATCTTGAATTAAACAAATTATTTCCTGTCCATCACAAAATTTAGGTCCCGACTTTTTAATCAGACAACATTCTCATTTTTAGAAAATTCCATATTTCTTGACGATTGCGAGCGTTATATATTTCTAGGTTTTCAGACTTACAAATATTTACAAATATTCCTGCTATTATTTTTAAAAGATATGTAAATCATTTATTTTTTCAAAAGTACATATACATATTTAATAAATAATTCAACGACGTGGGGGGCGAATTTTTTTATAAAAAAAAATTGGACTACAAAAACTCCAGAGAATTTATATTCAAAAGAACAAATTCTGTAATTTTTTTGTTTTACTGATTAAATATTTTTACGATTTTTTGTAAATCCATATCCGCCCTCTGGTCACGATACATGATTATGTATTTGCAAAAAGTTGCGAATAATGGACATACATAATGTATGTACACCCTCACGGATGAAAAATGAGACTTCTCACACTGAACAGGAAGTGAAGTGAGCCAAAATCCATGCAGATCCGTTGAATGGAACAATCACTTCAATCACCAAGCAGATTATGTTTCCTTTTCAAAACGGATCATTAGTTAATCTCCAAACCACAAAGGAAAGAGAAAGATGCTAACCGAAATATTGCGCCAATTCATGGACACCTCTAAAAAAATATGCAAATTTTCTGCCTACATATTTCCGATATTCCGGTCCTGTCGTCACCTCACCTTCGGAAATGAACTCTAATTTGAAGAATGACGGTTTTTGCAAATATATTTACATATTTTGCACTGATCTAGGATAGATATTTGCCCTTCAAGAAAATGACAGTTTTGTCGTCGTCGTTGTATTAGCACATGATTCTTCGTCATACCATAACTTTGAGAATCCTGACATGTTGATATTTTTCTTCAAATGTGCCAAAAAATACGGAATAATAATGGTTACATTATGTCACACTATTTTTTCCCAATCTTATTTATTCACGTGTCAGATTAAAGATTGGATTTTTTTGCAATGGGTTACGTAACACCCTGCCGAATAAGGCTTGTGGACGTACATCTCTTCTCCTAATATAAACATGCCACGATCCTGACATGTCGTGCAGTTACTGAATTTCTAATAAATTCCTGAATTTCTAGAATATTCTTACTTTCACCACAATAATGTCTCAAAGAAACTTTTCTTTCTTTCCATTTTCAGGTTCGAGACGTCTCAACTGCATAAATATGACCTCCCTTCGCTCACTCATCAGTGCTGCAGTCCATCCATAAAATAAAAATTGTGCCCGCACTAACTAACCACCAACTTTCTCCATAGAACTTTCTCCTCTTCCAAAAAAGAAAAACAATTTATCCCCACTTTCTCCACCAGTCCAATAATCCTCTCGACATGGACAACTACTCCTAAGGAGAGATTTTTGTGCAATGTGATTATGTGACTAGACCATCATCACCCAAACCGGAAGTAGAATATAAAAAAGAAAAGAATAAGGGATCAATTTCCATCGTCACCATCATCTCACCACCCCCTCAAATATTTTTCTCCTTATTGTTCTTTCCTCCTCCTCTGTTCCATTGTTCTTGTCAAGCTCAATCACACCTACCCAGCCGGCTTCCGTAGGTTATGTAATAATGGTGGTACCTGTAAATGTATGTTATATATCCTTGTGACGAGTTGGTCTCAGGTCTAATAGCCCGTGAGCACTCACCACTGGAACAAGATCAAAATCCACAAAGACGAGGAGTAGGAAATCGCCACCAAAATCTCAACCTAGTTCAAGAAGAAGAAGATCACCCCGATTTTTTATCTACCCGTAGTCGAAATCTACTACCCGGTAGTCGAGAAGATAAGCTATTTCCCTCCACACTTTCTACACCTCCTCCTGTAGAAGCTTGGTTGCCAAAAAAATCTGCCGAAATTGAGAAAATACGCCCAGACCCAGTTCGACCCCCTAGGGCAGGTAGAAACTCAGCTAATATACACAGTACTGACCAGTCCGACATTGCCCCCGCACCAGGAACTCCACCTACATCGACTAAGCGCCAAAAACCGAAACGTAGCGTGAGTTTCACGGCAGCATTTAGGTCCCGGTCGAAATCGAAGGATAAAGATAAGCCGGAAACTAATACAGGATTTTTTTCGAACGGTGGGGCCTCCGGATCGTCCAATTCTTTGTCAAAAGTTACCCCCACACCGACCCAGCTGGTTCCGAAACCCGGGTTTTTTGGGAGTGGGAGTTGGAAATTCGGGTCTAAAGATAAGCAACAGATAAGCACAGATAATAACCCTCCACCCCAACAAAATGCCATTTCCTGTTCCACCCTGTTAAGAAAGAGGGGAGGAAATCTGTCCGTGCCGAGGATCACGTTCGCTCTGGAGGAAGAAGACCACACTTTTGCAAATTATCGCGGCCAAAATTTCCACACGCCGACCACCCCCGCGCCAGGCGCGGTAGCGACACCAAATTTAAAATCTGGTGGCGGGCTACTAACTAAGCGACCACCCCTCCCAAAGTTGGCTTTAACGAGTAATAATTCCACTCAGAATCATATAACCGGGCCTGCGACCGCGGCCGCGACCACGACAACCCCACCCTTCCCACCTGCACCAACTTCGGCACCATCCTCGCGCGGCGGGAGTGTCCCGCGAAGTTTGATTTTATCGGCATCAAATAATTCCACGTGTCCGCCAGGTGGCGCCGTCAGCCGGGAACGGACGCCTCAGCAGCAGCAAAAAGAAGCCACGCCTTGGATCAACAGTCGGACTAAAAACAGCCCATTTACCCGTGAGGCTATTAGTGCGCCGCAAAATTTGAACAGAATGGCGGGACTTAATGGAGGCGGGGGCAGCATGAGTGGTTCCCTTATGACGCTGGGTGTAGGTGCGAGTGGTCATGGAGGTCACTCGGTGGCTTACGCGGCGGCGAGTGGAGGCGCAGTTTTGGACGCGAATTCCTTCAAGGATTGTGCACATCCGTCGATGAATGAGAACCTTAAGGCGCATAATGCCCTGTCCTTCCAAGTCATTAGAATTGGTGAGTGTGAACGACTTTGCTGTTTTTTTGTGTGGCTTTCACCTTTATTGATTGACGTAAGGGAGGTGGACCAGTGGATGCAATCCGATTTTGACGAAAAACTAGTGTCGATCGATCAAAAATTTGATTAGGATGAAATTTGCGAAAGACACGATCTCCCAATGGGCACGTTTGGCCGAGATATTTGCATCCAAAGAGGAGAAAACGTGTCCTAAAGTTGTCAAATTTAACACTTTACAAATTTACTTGGCGTTTTCTACCCTTTCGATGCAAATATCTAAAAATTAATATTGTATTTAATATATGTTTTTTTACTTGATTGGTATCAAAGCCTTACATTTTTAAGAAATTTTGAAGTTGGAACGTTTGCCAAATTTATTGCGCTTTTTCTCCTCTTCGGATGCAAATGTCTCTGCCAGAGGTGCCCATTGGGAGATCGTGTCTTTCGCAAATTTCATCTTAATCAAATTTGTGATCGATTCCCACTAATTTTCCCAAAATCGGGGAGCATACGCTGGGAGACCTCCGTTGTGAGTTGCATGGACGTAGGAAGAAAGAATAGGATTTTAGTAGGTAACGGTTAACGCCTTTTGTCCACTGCCAAGTACAAGTAGTGTCCGGTTACAGTGGCCGCGGAAGCTGGAAGGGACATTGTCCCTCTGTCCCCATGGTTAATCGATGTCCCCATCATCTACCCGCATGTTACACAAACCCCTCCCTCTACCATCCTACAATGTTAATGTCCCCACATGTCCCCACGGCTTCCGCGGCCACTGTTTTCTAATGCAGTTTTGGGAGGAGGAGAAGGACAAGGACAAATCGCATATAAGAAGCTTTTTTACCAACAAACCAAGAACGGCATACGCGTAATCTCAGGTTTCTAACCATACATGGTCCGATCTTAAAATCCCTTCCTCCTGATATATTTATTTATGATGCTTCTCATTGTCTCGTTTTCTTTTTTATTAGAAAACAGAAAACAACAAAATACACATTAATTTTGGTTAAATCACAATTTTATAAAAAAAATTGCGACGTTAAAAAAATGAAAATATCACTTCAGGTTTTGAAATCTTTCAAAAAAAGTTAAACTTTTTGTAATTTGTAATTTTACTTTCCATCTCATGAAAAAACAAATTCATTTCGATTAAATCAAAATTTTGCGAGAAATTACGACCCCACAAAAGTGAAATCATTATCCAGACGGGAAATCAGGAGATAAGATTCAGAATTTTGAAATCTTTCGGGTAAAATGAATTTTTTGTAATTATTTCCGATCTAATACACGAAACAATTACTTTTTGTTTAAATCACAATTTTTCCTATGCCAAGAAAGTGAAAATGATCATAATTTCCATCCAGAAGTCATGAATTATTCAGAATTTGGGAATCTAAACTTTTTTTGTAATTTCTCTCCCCTCGTAAAATATTCATTTAGAAAACTTAACCTCATCACGTAATCAACCCAACTTTGAATTTCCCATGAATATGTTATTCCTCCTCCTTGGGGATCGTCCTCCCACCCACCCACGCAGCCAGCCTTCACATGCAGGACGTTCCAACAGTGGCCGCGGAAGGGTGCGACAATGTCCCCACGGTTATTCGATGTCCGCATCATCTCCCCATCTTATATAAACCCCTCCCTCCCCCCATCCTACAACGTTAATGTCCCCAGATGTCCCCACGGCTTCCGCGGCCACTGCATTCCAAAATGCAACCGGATCAAAGTTTATTTCCACTCCCAGTTGCAAAAATCACTCAAAAATCACTTTTACATACATAAACCCAGGCACAAACCGCATGCATGCAACTGCTCCCTTGCGATTAAATCTCTCAATTATAAATTTCCTCTGCATCGTATCAAATTTCTTATCAAAATCAGACACGCATGGTTACGTAAACATTTGGTTGGTTTTGGTTTTGGTTGACAATGCCACCAAACCAAACCAATTTTCGGACATGACATGATTTCACTTTGGCAAAGCGAGTGAATTTCGCGTAATCAGCGGCCGCGGAAGCCGTGGGGACATTAACATTGTAGGATAAGGGTTTATATGACATGGCAGATGATGCGGACATCGGATAACTGTGGGGACACTGTCCCTCTGTCCCCACCCTTCCGCGGCCACTGTAATGTTATAGCGAATTCTTTCACTGTGAATTTCACGATGCACGTATGTAATCAGTGGCCGCGGAAGCCGTAGGGACATCTGGGGACATTTCCATTGTAGGATAGGGGAAGGAGGGGTTTATATAAGATGGGCAGGTGATGGGGACATCGAACAACCGTGGGGATATTGTCCCTCTGTCTCCACTCTTTCCGCGGCCACTGCACGTATTGGCCAAACCTCTGCCTTTGTGTTCCATATCCACATCCACGACGGACGATTACAGTGGTTTTCTTTGTGTCGAGAGAGCAAATTAAGTAATGCGGGTAAAAAGAGTTTGTTGGCAGGTTGGCATTTCTTCTATTCAAATGAACCAACGTATTTAGTTGGTTAGAAATTGTGCGGTAAATACATTTCGTGGCTTGGTTTACATACAGTCGTTCCCCAAAAGCTATACAAATTCCGAGACTTTTTTTTATCTCGTCGTCGTCGTCACAATTGAAATCGGTTGAAAAAATTCGCACAGTCGACGCCATTCGAAACCCATGCCAGGAAATTGCAATGGAACAAAGTCACAATTCACACGGGTGCAAGCCCCATCCATTTCTCTGTTCATGGTCCTCTTGTCCTCTTTGTTTATCCACATACGTAAGTAAAATATATGTATTTACAAATGGATGTATGTACGTAACAGCCAGCAACATATGCATGTATCCTAGTAGTAGTTTCTATTTTTATTAGAATTTGTATACCTACTTTTGAAGAGGAAATTAAAAACCCGAGAAACAATGTGGTAGTCTTGGTCCAAATGACGGTTTAATGTTTTTGAGACTTCATAATTTTTTCAGGAATTTTTCTCGCATTTTTTTCAGTAACTATCACTGAGAAATATTTAATTTGCACAGTGTTTCGGGTGCAAGTAACCACGTGCAAGAAATAGCGAGGAGAAAGTGGTTTCGTGCAGGGGAATATTTTGACATAGGAGAAATGCAAGGCGGGAGAAACTCCTTCACGACACTATGGTTCATACGGCGCGTGGCTAGATGGCGCAAATTTCCTGCACTTTCTCCCAATTTCTTGCACATCCCATTTCTTGCGTTTCTTGATTTGCAGTGCAAGAAATGTAGCAAACCCGCAAGAAACGAAACTAATTTGCCAGACTTGGCCAAAACGACGGTTTGAGTCAAGCATATCGGTCAGACCATCGCTCCTTTAAATCCAGGCGCGACACAAGTTCGTCGCCGTATGGACAAACTGACTTTTCAATATCAAATCTCTGGCGTAAACCACACTCTGGTCATGACTCCTTTTTGGCCCTGTGCTTATCGGGACATACATAGCTTAAATCGAACCAGATTATCGTCATGCTTTTCTTTATCTACATCATCATCTCTTCTTATCTCAAATTTATGCACCCAAACTTGCACCCCTCGGTTGGCCGGGTGCCCTAAAAAAATTAGAAGGATGTACGTACATAGAAACTCTAGACACGATAAGAGAGCAAGAATAACCACGTCTGTAAATGTTTCTCCTAGACATTCGGGAATTTTAACCTTGTCATTTCTAAACCAAAGCCAATACTGATTAATGATCATCATTTTTTCGCACATTCCAATTTCGCAAATAGATACGTATGTTTTTCGCAAATTATTTGCATACATGAAGTCAGTTCATAAGTTTTCATATGGGAACTTTCACCACTTCTTTTGACCCACGTCTACCCATACAGATTAATTATCATCTTTTTTTTGCACATTCCACTTCCACATATGCAAATATATATTTTTCGCAATTATTTGCATAAAGTGCAACTTTCACCACGTCTTCTGGCTAACATGCCTATTAATTATGATTAATTTTTTGCACATTCCCATTCCAGAAATGCAAATGTTTAAATATTTGCATAAAGTTAGTTCATTAGTATTCATATCGCAACTTTCACCACCTTTTCTGACCCTCATCGTCCTACGCCGATTAATTATCATTAATTTTTCGCACATTCCACTTCCGGGAATACATACCTAACTCGCAAATGAATATGTTTTTCGCCATTATTTGCATATTTAAAGTCAGTTCAGAATTTTCCACCTCGCAACTTTCACCTCTTCTTCTGACCACGTCTGATCCCATGCTGATTAATTATCAGAATTTTTTCGCACATCCCATTTCCAGAAATAAATTTGCAAATATTTAAATATGCTTTCCACCATTATTTGCATAAAGTGAGCTCATACTCAGTAGTATTCATATCACATCTTTAACTTTCACCACATCACCCTCCTGACCCGCATCATCTTCCCTCGAAATATGCAAATTTGCTCGTAAACAGCTTCGAGGCATTTAATATTCTGGAAGAGATCTGTTTTCCACTCTTCTAAAACAAATGATCATCCTCACGCCTCGTGAATCTTTATCCGTGTCTTGATCTACACCTGGGAAACCGGATGCTGGTCTGATTTATTCTCCAGTTTGAACTGGCTCACCTTCAACTTCGAGATAACTAACTACGCAAAAGAATGGAATGGAACACTAGCTTCGTGATTAGTGACCTAACTTTCCCCTGCAGACTTGGCTTAAAATGGGGACGCAAACCATGTTCAACCAAGATTATTTTTCGAAAAAATTAATTTGAAAGAATAACTCTTTAGAAACATTATTTAGTCCGGCAATTACGCAGATGCGAAAAATTTTGCACGTTTTGGACACCGGAAGTTAGAGAAAACGCTCTGTTTTTGAGCAGAATCTGTGCTTTGCGGGAGTAGTTGTGGGTTTTCGCGAACTTGTGGAGCCAAAAATTTGCCGAATTTTTCGCATCTCTATTTCATAAATGCCGAACTAATCCTAAGTGGATTTGTTCTTTCAAACTACTATGGTCAAAAAATAATTTGGGTT